TGAAGTGTACCTCTGGTGCAAATTACTGACCTCTGTCATCATTTTAAGTGGGGGAACTTGCACAATCGGTGGCTGACTAAATACTTTTTTTGCCCCACTGTATAGGGAAATTTGTTTTGGAAGTGCAATTTTTCCTGCTGCCTCTTAGGCTCAATTAAAAAATAAAATAGCAATACAGTGACAGCAAATATTTTAATAAATACAGGGACACTAACACTAACTAGGTTAGCCCATAAATTTCACTTTCTCACATCGCAGTTTCATGACTTTTCATGTTAGCTAGTATCAATGAAGAACAAAAACTCACTGGGGCAAATTAGAGGGATAACTGAATGATAATACATCTGCTGACACTGTTATGTGGTGAATAAATATATATATAATTTGTGTGTGTGTGTGTGTGCCAACATTTAAATCTTCTAAAGATTTCACCATTCAAAAGTTGTCCTATTGAAATATTACATTAATGATTTGTTTTAGATCAGGCTGAGCTGAAAATATGTTTTCCTGCTTTCTTGCAGATTTTGAAGATAATTCTCAGTCAGAGTCACTAAGTCGGTGAGCTAATTTCTTAATGCTGTCTACAGTTTATACTTACAGCCGACTTCCTTGCTATGACCATTTTCTTCCTCCTTCTCTTCTTTAGTGTTTCAAAAAGGGCTGCAGATGATTGGCCATCATCAGATGATGATGATGAATCTGTTTTAATTGAAAAGGTTGGAACTACTCATTCTTCTTTTATATTGTATTGTTGTAATTTTGCCCTGACTTTCATTTAATTTTCTGACTTGCAGAAACCTCTGAAAGTTGACCTCAGCAAAATGATTGCATCTAAAAAGGGAGAAGGTACCAAGAATCTTTCAGCCTTTTTTAATCCATAGTTTGTAGTTTTAGGTAGTAATCTTCTATCCCTCTTTGTCCAGTAGCTTCGGCACGAGCTGACACATCGTTGAGTGGCTCAGACTCTGAGCCAGAAAGTGAAAATAGAGTTCAGAGAATCCCATCCCTCCCAAAGGCTTTGTCATCCAGCAAAAGTCTTCAGCATCCAGTAGATCCCACTCCCATTACCTTCCTTACCAGTGCATCCCACATGACTTCCACTCCGCTTCCACACTACAGAAAGGTGAAAAATTTCTGTCGAACCTTTGTTACATGCTTGTGTCTGAAAGATTTTTGTCTTTTTCCCTAAAATCTTAAAACAAGCTGGCTGTGCAGCTGAACAGGGGAAAAGAAAACACTCTGAACAACCTCTGGGTACTAAATCAAGACCATTGTCTCAAGAAAGAAGTTCAGATGCAGATGACTCTGAAGAGGAGGATGGCGAAGAAGAGGGAGAGGAAGACGATGAAGAGGATGAAGAAGAGGAGTCTAATGAAGAGGAAGAAGATGATGAAGAAAGTGATGAAGGGGAAGAGGAGGAGGACGAGGAAGAAGAAGAAATAGAAGAAGAAGAACAAGAAGAAGGCTCTGAAGAGGAGGATCAGGAGGATGATAGCAACTGCGTGGCTAGCACTACAGAATTTAAAGCCCCTCAGATCACACATGATGCCGGCATCACTGCAAAGAGTGAAACATTTCTTGGAGTTGTACGTGAAAGTGCAGATACCTCAGAGAAAAATACCAAAACAAAGACTTTAAGCACCAACTTCATGCACCCCGCTGGGACATCGAGCTTTGTTACTCCAGCCACATTACATATAGTGGAGGATTGCGTTGTGTCAGCCATAAGAGTAGAATCTAAGTTTTCAGATGAAGATGACAGCCTGGGAAAGAAATATTTGAGTTCATCGGATCAAAACGTAATTTCAGGCCAGGATTCAACACGACATTGTCCAGAAACTCATTCACCAGGCGAGGATATGAAGGAATGTGAGAGAGACACAGGAAAGGATGATGAAGACTCATGGGGCAATAAACAGAATCGTGGTGATATGGACTGGAATGACAGTGATAATGAAGAGGACAAACATTTTCTTGCTAATCAAACAAATCTATTACCTGAAGTTGGCATAAAAAACACAGACAGTACTTCTGATGGTAAAGATGATTGTGGATCGCACAACAAAGTTTCCACAGGAGTGAAACTCAGGTCCTCATGGGGATCTTCATTAGAGGACAGTGATATTGACATACCTGAGGTAAGCAATGAGGTTTTTGATCAGAAAAGCACTGTTCAAGCACCAGAAGCATCATTATTGCATTTAAAAAACACATTGCTCCAGTCAAATGAAGAACATCCAGATAGCCAATGGGATTCTTCATCACCAGTTGCATCTCCAAAATGTTTTACACTTAAGGAGGTTATAGACAACCACAAGTCACTGTCTGGTCTAGGTCCAAAAACCTCTTCTCAGTCCAGAAACCAAGCAGCTGTAGATGAATCAGAGTGGCATTCCTCTGAAAATAAAGACCAAAATGATTTTGGCACTAACTCTAATTGTGAAGTGGTGTCCCCAGTTTCCAAAGCAAATGAGACTGGAGAGATGCAATTAGAGTCTAAGGAAGAAGAGGTCAGAGAAAGTATTGAGAAAGAGTCAGATGACCCCTCACCAGTACTTTCATCGGCACTGGATGATGAAAACCAACTTTTGGGGAATGATGAAGTTGAAGAAGATGAAAGCTGTTGGGATGATGAAGATGAAAGCAATGGCTCAGAAAAGCAAGAGAAAATTGTGATGAATAACAGTGATGTTTTACACAGTGAGGATATCCTGAAGATACCCGACTCAACCAAGCAGTGTTCTCCAAAGTTGAAGTCCACAGCTACAGTACACAAGAAGGTGGCAGAAGACGCTAAAAGGGATAATCAGCATGATGAAGATGGTGAATTGGTTCCTCAGTCCGTTATCAGTGAAAATGATATGCTTGCAGAAAATGTTGAACTGGAAGAAGAAAAGCTGGAGGTTGTTAAGAAATACAGTGTCCACAAAGACGATGAGACGAGTGAAGACTCTGACAGCAAGATCCAGAAGCTGCAGTACGATTTTGTCAATGCTACAGTTAAAATGTGTACAGTAGGAGACGATTCTGATAAAACTGTTGATGGAGGCCTTTGTGAAGGTATCGATGCAGATGATGAGCATGAAGCTAGATTAACTGCATACGTTCCATTTGAAAACCAAACTAGAGTGTTGTCAGAGGAGATTAATGAAAAACCAATAAAGGAAAAGACATTTTCATGCCCACCCATCAAACATCAAACCACAGCTTGTCAGCACAGTGATTCAGATGTGAACACATTTTCAGATGAAGTACTACCTCAGACTGACATTGATGACGTTGATGTAGACTCACCTGATGAGGCAGAAAACATATATATGATATGCTCTGGAATTCAGGTAAAACGGGAATATTTTTTACTTGTATTTGTCTCATTTAGTTTGGCTATTAATAGTCTGTCCTCTATAGCTAGGCCAAGACCTTTAAGACAGTTATATTCACGTCCTTGTTCCTAGCTTAGCTTGTATGTATATCAAATGTGACCTGTGGATGCATACTCACAGAAAAATGGGATTTACCATGCACAGTTTTGAATATTTCCATTTTTTCCTGCACACAGAAGGAAGATTCCACTGAGGATGAGGAAGAGGATGAGGGTGATAATGACCAAGAGAGGGAACAAGAGGAGGAGGAGGAAGGAGACGAATCAGCTGAGAATGATCAGCTTGAAGAAAGTGGAGAGTCTTGTGACGCCAATTCGCCTGCTCCTGAGGCCGAAGTTTCTAAAGAGAAGAAGAGGGGTAAGGAGTTACTTTCTACAGAACCAGCAAATGCTCATATGTCAGGAAAATGGTGGTCCACAGGAGTTAACAATACTAAAAACCATTGTGCAGAAGTGCTTATTGTAAGTGACTGTTGGATCGGTTGGAGGGTAGCTCTGTAATTGCTATTAGTGTCTAATGTGAGTGTGGCTGTACTGTGCCTAGAACTCCGCCATGACAATAAACCACCAGTCTACCAAAGATCAAAGACCTTATAGAAGCAAGTCTGTAGTATAATCAGTCAGATCTGATGAAACTCCTCAAAACTGACACAATCTTTATTGTTGCAGGATTCTCCGATAGATTTCAATT